AAGCCTACCAGCTCTCATCAGGTGGATAGTACTTTGACAGAGGAGATATAGCAGGTGGTGGAGATTGATGTAGCTTCACAGGGTCCAGATAGAACCGTATCCATTAGAGTGTCGACTGATGTGAAGCCAAGTAAGCACGGTGATGATTTGGAGGATACATGTATGGCAGAGCAGAATCAGGAACCGACGGCTCAGTGTCAGGATTCAATTGCAGTTCGAAGACCAGAAGAGATACGATTGCCAGCAAGGTATATGGACACAGTCATTGCATATGAACTTCCGATGGAGAGTGTCGATGAGATGGTTTCTACTATATTCAAAGGGGTTGATTTGTGGCAGGAGGCTATGCATGAGGAGATGGAGTCTTTTCACAGGAAGGACACATGGGAGCTTGTTGATCTTCCAAAGGGGTTGAAGGCTATTGATTGCAAATGGGTATATACAAAGAAGGAGGGCATTCAGGACACTCCTATGAGGTTTAAGTCTAGATTAGTTGTGAAGGATTATGTACAGGAAGAAGGCATTGACTACAATGAAGTCTTTTATCCGGTGGTGAAACACTCTTTGATTCGGATCTTGCAAGCTTTGGTGGAACAGTATGGTTTGGAATTAGATCAGTTGGATGTGAAAACAATTTTTCTTCATGGTGATCTTGATGAAAAAATTCATGACTCAGCCATTGGGGTTTTGAGTTGCCGGAAAGGAGAAATTGATGTGTGGATTAAAAAATCACTATACAGGGTGAAGCAATCTCCAAGACAGTGGTATAGGCGATTTGATGGGTTCATGATCAGCCATTCGTATATTAGGAGCCAGTTTTATCCTTGCATGTACTATCACAAGTTGCATAAAGGTGCGTACATTTACTTATTACTTTATACCGATGACATGTTGGTTGCTTCTATTTGCAGATCTGCCATAGATAGATTAACGATTCAACTTTCGAACGAGTTTGAGATGAAGGATTTGGGTGAAACGAAGTGCATTTTAGGGATGGAGACTGGCAGAGACAGAGATAAGGGCAGAATTAGTTTGACATAAGTGGCTTATTTGAAGAAAGTTTTACAGCAATTCAATGTGAGCATGGAGACGAAGCGAGTCAGTGTACCTTTGGGAGCCCATTGAAGCTTTTAACTAATCTTTCACCAAAAATAGTTGAAGATAGAGAGTTGATATCGATGACTCCATATGCGAGCGTAGTGGGAAGCTTGATGTACGTTATTGTTTGTACAAGGCCGGATTTGTCACAGACAGTTAGCATAGTTTCACGATACATGCACGACCCGGGTCCGGGTCATTAGGATGTTGTGAGGTGGATTTTGAGGTACATTCGAGGTACTCTCAACGTTGGTTTGGTGTTTGAGCGGGACACTAGTGGTGGACAACTATATATTGGATACATAGATTTAGACTATGTTAGAGATTTTGATGAGCACCGGTTAATAACGGGATATGTGCTTACTTTGACTCGTGTGCCGGTGTGTTGGAGATGCACCTTGTAGTCTACGGTGGCTTGTCGACGATGGAGACAGAGTATATAATGATTACAGAGATTATTAAGGAGGCGATTTGGCTTCGAGGACTTTTGGAGGATCTTAGTGTGTTGGAGGATCTTGGCGATTACGGAGACTGTTAAGGAGTGCTATCTATTTGGCCAAGAATTAGGTTTTTCATGCATGGACTAAGTACATTGATATTCGTTATCACTTCATCGGGGATGTTCTTGAAGATAGGGATGTGGAGCTCGTGAAGGTCCATACAAGAGACAATCCAGCAGATATGCTCACAAAGGTGGTCCCTAGCAACAAGTTCGATTATTGTAGAAACTTATTGTGGATTTGTGCGTGTTGAGGCCTTTTGACGCTATTTGGATGAACTACGGGCGATTTGTTCCCTTAGGAGAGGGGATACGTAGGCAACCATATTGGTGCAGCCGGATTTAGAGAGACGACAAATTGGTGCTCTTGTTGGTGTCAGCTCAGTTTTGGGAACACTTAGTCGGGGTGAAGAATTGTTGGATAGTAGGTTATTGGTTTTTTAGAATTATTGGATTCTTTGTCTGTTTTGGTTTTAGTGTTTCTATATATATAAAACGTTTTAGAAGAGATTTGTAGAGAGAGAAAAGAGAGTCTTTTGAGCACTTTGAGAGGGAGATTATTGTGAAGGAGTGAAAGATTGTTGGTTAGGCTTATTTTGAGTGTTTGAGAGAGTTGTATTCAATTGTATTTCTTCTCCATATAGTAAAATCTCTTCATCCTCTCCCCATGGACGTAGACAACTTACCGAAACTTCATAAAATCTCTGTGTTTGTGATTGGTTTGTGCCGTTCTTTTGTGAATTGCACTCGTTGGTTGTTCTTCTCTCTTGTTCGCAGACTCGTGTTGGTTCGTGTGCACGCTTCTGCCGATGTGCAACATCCCCATCGCTAATTCCTAATAACGATGGACTTGGTCCATCACCAATATACATTAGCGAAGACTGTTGTCCATCGCTAACGTCATCTGTCGCCAATACGTATTGGCGATGGGTCTATTCGTCATCGATGCACATTAGTGACGAATTTATTAGCGATGGTCTATAACCCCTCACCAATGTTCATTGGTGACGAATTTCTTAGTACTAGTGACGGATATCTCCGTCACCAATACTCTGTTTCTTACTAGTGTAACTAACCATGTCTTTTATCTCTTAAGATTCATGTATGATTTTTTTCTCTTTTCATAGAAAAAGTTCTCCAAAGTCGATCTCTATTTTTTAATAATTCTTATTCTTATTTTTTTGAATATTTAAGGTGCTTTCAACTGTATTTGCGTGCTTTTCTCTTTATTTTGACTAATGGTATGCTCCAATTTTAATTTTTTATTATCTATTTGTTATTATTTACATTAATCACAACTCTATAATTTTGATTATAATATCTATGTTATTTTTTTAATTAAATATCAGATTATGTATAGTACAAAAATTGTGATCTTGAGAAGATAATAATAAATTTTCTATCTCGATTATTCTTATTTTTCGTTATTTAGATCTTGATTGTATTGATTTTAATTTACTCAGCAATTTGATTGTTCTTAGTATGTTACAAGTTATTTTATTGTTTTTATTTATTATTATTTATAATACTTTTTATTTTAATCCTTTTTTTGCATTTTAATTATAATATTTGTGTTATTTTTTATTGAATATCAGATTATGTATAGTTTGAAAGTTCCAATCTTGAGAAGATAATAATCAATTTTTCATCTTGACTATTCTTAGTTCTTTTTAGTTTTGGATCTTGATTGTATCAAATTTATCAAATTTAATTTGTTGACAATTTGATCATTGGCCAGCTGATTGTCTAGCTATATATATAACACTCGTTGTTCTCCGCACTAAATGTTGTGATTTGCATTTGAGTATACATAGTGGGTGTTAGATATAAAATGAATCATAACCTTCAAGTAATTAAATTAACAATAATTAATATAATAATCTCTCAGCTATTTTTGCTTTTAGCACAGATGATCCTTATCCGATTCTAATGAGTGATCCACATTAATCCTCTCGACCTAAAAATTACTTATTTTGAGTTGAATATATGCCTGCACAATAAACAAATAATTAATATGGGACAGAAATAATCATGTGATTATAAAATAAAAACATAAATGATGTATTAATAGTGGAAACATAAAAAATGATTTTCTCAATAGAGAATATACTAAGTTATATATCAAACAATAGATGTATATATATCCGAATTTTATTTTCATTTTTCACAAGTTTTCTAATCCCCACTCTATTCGCCCGTCACTGCAACGTGCATGAGGCCAGCATGAAAACATGGCGAGCATTAACCAGACTAAAAAAAGAATAAATCTAAATAAAAAAAAACCCTTAAATTTTGGAAGTCACTACCACATAATTGATCTATTACAACGGTTAAGGCGCAACGGTTTTAACTGTTGCGTTAGATATCTATCGTAACGATTTTCAGGGTCTAATACAACATTTAATATAAAATGTTGCCATAGGTCTAATAATTGTTTCTGGATTTAATAATTATTAGTGGCCTTTGGAGAGCTTTAGTAAAGCCCATGGTTTGACCGCACCGCTCAAAGGAAATCTGTCTCTCTCTCAAATCCCTAAAATCGCCGCCGAGCCAAAAAAATTCCGCTCCCTAAAATCACCGCCGATCGAGCCAAAACAAGCGCCGCCCTCCTCTCATCGTCACCGTCGTCGGAGTTCTCGCCGCCTCCTCCTCCCCTAAAATCCCTAATTCGAGCTCCTCCTCTGATTCGAGCTCCTCCTCCTTCATTTGTAGATTCGAGCTCCTCTTCCTCCTCCTCCTCCTCCTCCTTCGTCGCTGCTGCCTTTTGTCCTCTACATTGAAAGGTACATGTCTATTTCTTGCCTTTCAGTATTACATAATTTGTTCCATCAGTAATTAGTTTCATTTTCCCTCTAATTGCTGAGATATATTCAGTTGGAGATAAATTTTAAAACCCAAAACTCTGCCAACTAGAGCTTTGGATATGATTTACTCTGTCAATTAGAGCTTTGGATATGATATGATTTACTCTGTCAGTTAGAGCTTTGGATATGATTTTGTTTTCTCCTTCATATTCATTTTACAAATTGTAGGTGCTGTATTATAGCGCTTGTGGATGATTTTAAGATAGAAGTGCTCGTTTGTGGTTAGTTCATTGCAACTTCTTTGTGTAATCATTAACATGGCTCTTGTTTTAGCTTGCACTTCCATCTTGAGTGAACAGGTGGCTAACCGCATAGATTGGGGACTTCATTATGCAACTAATCTTTGTGGTATCAAGAATTCTGTTCTGATCTCAGAGGTATATATTAGCATACACCTGTATATATTAGCATATATAATAGATAAGTTATGTTAGATATTGGGTGTGGCTTCGGCAGCTTAGGAGCGCATCTTTTCTCAAAACAGCTTCTAACAATGTGCATCGCAAGATGTGGAATCGACTGGGAGAAGAATGGTATGTTTTTTCTCTTATACTTTATTTCTTATTCAGACTTTGTGGTAAATTCTAGATGATTGACTTCGTTTCTGGTTCAGTTGAATGCAAAACTACTGATCAATCATTCTACTAGTTGATTTGTGCATGTAACTTTTACTTATGTTATCAAAATAGAAAAATAGATGTGTCTGTCTACATAAAAATTAGTAGCAGAGGCTCATGTATAGAACTGACTCGATATGATATGTATGCTTGCATGTAAATAGGGCTTGATTGCTTTATAGGCATAGTTGGACCTACATGTGAATTGGTAAGTTATGCATTAAAAATATCACCATTAACATATCCCATATTGGTCAATAAGAGAGATTACATCAGCTTAAGACAAATGTTTAGATTCAATGAAGTAGGCTTATAATGTGAATATGCCTCACTGAATTGGATACTAAATCATTTGCTTTGATCATGACATGCTCATTAAGATACTAACAATTCTTATGTAACAGTGGATCCAGCATATTTTTTTGTTGGGAAATGCTTATCTTGGATCTTGCATTATGAAGTTGAATAAATAACATTTGAACTGACTGATGCAGATGATATTTTCTTGGTCCAAGTGGACAGACTTTTCTTAGGTTAATCCAAACTCAACTGAACTTGCAATTCATGGTAATTTGAAATGATCATAGTTTAAACTGTAATTTCTTTTTACACCGATTGACAATTTTATTTTTCGTTCATCAAATTTGCACTCAAAGGACTTAGCCGAGGACGCATTAAATTGGAACTCTGCTATTCGTAACTATTGGTCTCTTCTTTCACCTCTGATTTTCTCGGATCATCCAAAGAGGCCTGGTGATGAGGATCCCTCTCCACCTTTTAACATGCTCAGAAATGTGCTTGACATGAATGCTCGATTAGGCGGGTTCTATGCTGCATTGTTAAATGCAGGAAAATCTGTTTGGGTTATTAATGTTGTTCCCACAAGTGGTCCAAATTATGTCTCTCTCATCATTGACATGGGATTTATTTCAGCACGACTGGTATGCATTTAAACCTTCTAAAGAAAATCTTCATAGTTTGTATTATTTACAATATATTCACTAGGACCACGGCGTTCTAAGTCAGGACAATCGTTGATTTACATTTACCTGTATCTACTAAGATGTAAAGGCTTGGCCTAACACCAACTATATTGGCCTGACAATGGGTTATTATTGCTATGCCTGTCAAGGAGCCCCAGTACAAAGGTGCCCAGCCCCAATGGTTGATATCTTTTTTTTTATTTGATTTGCCTAACTGCCCCAACGGTTGGAACCGTTGGGGCAAACTTGGCAACCGTTGGGGCTGACTCAGCCCCAACGCAATTTGTCCCAACGGTCCTTTTTTCAGCCCCAACGGTTTGTAGGCATATAAAATTGCTTATAGGTCCCTTAGCTCAGCTCGGCATGAACCGACAAACCAACGAGGTGACGAGATCGACGAATCGCACGCAAGCAACGGAATACATCCATTCGCGTGCGGGATCAAGCCAAAGGTTCGAGGAGTCAACGAGTCATCCAACCAAAGGCATACTCGGACGAATGACGATCGAATCAAGATCGGTTTCGGACTCCAACTCAGAAGCGGATTTACTGCCTAATCGGGATCCGAATTTACTGCCAAATCAGATCAGCAAATCGAATCCGAACCAATCAACCGCAGAACCGGAAAACGGGCACAAAGAGGCAAAACGACAAACACCTGGAGGTCGGCTCACCGAGCCACCAAGGAGGCTCGGTGGCCGAGCCACCAAGTGGTGGCTCGGCCGAGCCACCTAGGTGGCTCGGTGGCCGAGCCACCTTGGGGTGGCTCGGCCACCTCCGAGCCACCAAATGGTGGCTCGGAGGCCGAGCCACCTCCTTGGTGGCTCGGCGGCCACCAAGGTGGCTCGGCCACCACCGAGCCACCAAGAGGTGGCTCGGTGGCCGAGCCACCAAGGTGGCCGGCCGAGCCACCTCTTGGTGGCTCGGCATGAGCCGAGCCACCTTGAGGTGGCCGGCCATCTTGGACGATTGTTTCCTTGGTGAAACAATCCTCCCCGGCTATTATTTCCTTGGTGAAATAATACCCGTCGTACTGCGTAGATCCGACCGGATCTAGATCTCGCGGTGGTCCACGGCAAATAACCCCGGCGCAGGCAAAGAACCCACCAAGCGAGCGACCGCAAAACAGGAGCTCGCGATTCGTTCGACATAAAAGGAGAAAAGTTGTAATCTTTGTTTATTTTTTATTTGATTTTCGTTGTAACCGGATCTTATAAAAAGACCGGATCTTTTGTAACTCAAAAAGTTGTAACTCAAGATGACAATGGAATCAATAACAAAGAAAGCAACGAATTTTCCAGCGAACACGGTTCTAACCGTTGGGGTCATGATTTGCCCCAACGGTTTCAACCGTTGGGGCAGCCCTGCTTTGTACTAGTGCGAGCCAAAAAATTCCGCTCCCTAAAATCGTCGTGACCAAGATCTTCATATAATCGACGATCTCATCACTGAATTCGTCGCTGTTTTCATATTGGATCTCATCTCCAATCTCCTCTCCGATATCATCTTCGAGCTTGTTGTCATTCTCGTCGTCGACCTACTCTCGTTGGTCTCGTCACCATTTTCAGTCCTCGCCGGAGTCCATTTACTTTCGTCGCCGTTTTCATCTTGTTCGTTTCATCGTCGAGCTACTCTCGTTGCTCCAGAAATCGAGCCCAGATCTCGCTAACGGGAGCTTTCTAGGGTTTGCTCCACCTATCTTTTCTCACGATATTTTGATTTCTCAATTCGTACTACCGCTTTCTGAGTTCAAATTGATTTTTCCAGTTAAATTTAGTGATTTTTAAAGTTATTGACTAGCATATAAATTAGCCGAGAAATCTGTGATGATGTATATGAAATCTTTTCAATGACCCGCTTAGTTATTGCATGTTATATATCACTTTTATTTCTCAAGTTTTGTCCCAAAAAAATTGATAATTTGTTATGATGTGTATCTGAGTCATGTTCCCCAATTAAATGAGTTGCAGACAACTTGTATGCTATATATAATCCTTATCATCACAAAGAAGATAATGTTATATATCACTTTTTATAAGTCATGCCTAATATCAGTATAATCTTATGTTCTTGAGCCAAGAAAGGGTTCATATAAGCAATTGACATGTGGCATATTTTATTGATTATATTCAGAAATCCATCTTTATTCCTGAAACATAAGAGTTCACTTGTGACCAGCATGGGGCTGATAAGTCGGAAGGTTCAATTGACATATAAATGCGGAACATTGTTAACTTAGATATGGACCTGTAAAGGAGACTTTGGTGTGGAGCTCAAGATTCTGAGATTAGGATCATTCTTCTGAGTTCTAGGAAAGAAGTTCAGGGACAATCATCTGCATGTTTTGTTGTTTAGTGTACTTTCATCATGTATTATAAACTGAAATAATACATGATTGCTCTATTATTGAGCAAAATTCATAACTAGCTGTAAATAGTTGGACAAGCTTAGTTGTTATGTAATTTTTCTTATTAAACTAGTGAAAGAGCCAATGCACACATGTTGACCCGTACAGATGGGAACATCTTGGATGCATCTGTGCATCATATAGTTTCAAAAGTTGTTGCCTATTGAAGTTGATTTTGACCTTCATGTTGATGAACATGATTTTATCCCTTGAGATATTAAATTCCATAGTGCAAATCAATGTTTAAGCTTTTCATTTGGAATTAGCTCTCTGATTTGCTGCAGCAAAAGCTATGCACTTTATTTTGGTCCCTTCATGCGCAGTTTATTCTGTACAAACCAGTAGAATCACTATAGTCCTTGAAAACATATGGTTGCACACTTGGATTGGCTCAGTCCAAATTCTGCTGCTTGGACTGCTGAAATTGAGCCTGCCATGTCAGTTCGTGCGGATCACCCAAATTCTTGTAGAAACAATCCCTACTCTCCTTTACATTATATACTATTTAATGCAAAGAATCACTTAACAAAATGTCAAGGGATTTTTGGAACTTATACAATAATAGCTTAATTTCTTAACCATATCTGATAAATTAATTCTGATTTTCATACTAGCCAAAATACTTAAGCACTCCAAAATGACACTGATAAATTTTGACTAATATTAACCACAAGAAGACTCCAAAGAAGCATTGGAATAAATTTAGTATATGAGTCTACCATCAATGAGCACGGTATTGGAACATTTACAGCATTCATATCAAGAGAATCATTTACTTCTATTTCTATATGTTATTGCAGTGAAACTCTTTTTTGTTAAAATGGTTGGATTTGGTTGTGGCAACAAACAAGCATGATGTACATTGTTCTCTTAACTTCCTTTTCAAACATCTTTTTCCCCAATTTTATTATCATCATTGCAAAAATTATGCTGATTCATGGAAATTTACACATGTACGGAAATGATGAAAGCCAAGATTGAGATTGATACTGACAGGTTCCTAGTGAGTATTTGACATTGAGGAACAAGTTTTTGGAAACAAATAGAGAATATAGTCTTTGACCGAGAAGTTTCATGTTTTGTAATCAAATGTTGAAGTACATTGTTTGAATGTTAGTTCGGTACGATATTTTCTGAGTTGAAATGTTGGTAGTGTGGATTTAATACTTTGTAGTTTTTATACTATACTGATGTATGTTGGCACTTATCATTATGATTGATTATGCTCAATATAATCACTTTTATATTGTGTATTAAAATTTGACTTGGCCATGTTCTTAAAAAGATTGTCCAGATAATTGAATACTATAATTATTTTAACGTAGGAAACCAAGAACAACTTCGATTGAGCAGTTGCAATAACTCGATTAAAACCGTTGCGATAGCTCGATCCAAACCGCTGCGATAGCTCGATCCAAACTGTTGTGATAGCTCAATCCAAACTGTTGCGTTAGGTCTTTTAAAACTGTTGCAATAGCTCCAACTGTCGCCGTAGCTTTATCAAAACCATACTTATAGCCTACTAAAACCGTTGCGTTAGGTCTTTTAAAACTGTTGCAATAGCTCCAACTGTTGCCGTAGCTCTATCAAAACCATACCTTTAGCCTACTAAAACCGTTGCGTTAGGTCTTTTTAAACTGTTGTAATATCTAAAAAAACCGCTGCAGTAGCTTGAAAACCGTCGCAATAGCTCAATCAAAACCGCTGCAATAGCTTAAAAACCGTCGCAATAGCTCAATCAAAACCGTTGCAATGGCTTAAAAACCACTTACCTTTTAAAACCGTTGCGTTAGATGCGGGGGCAACGGTTCAAAAAACCGTCGTAATAGAGTTCAAAGCCGTTACGATAGAGGTAGGGCAACAGCAACATATGAGGCGGTTTGAGAACCGTCGCACTTGCTCAAGGGCGACGGTTCCATGGCTAGCGCAACGGTTTTAAACCGTTGCGTTAGAGCAAATATGTGGTAGTGTTATTAACATGTATCATTTTTAATTTTTATTTGTTATTATTTATATTAATTTTTATTTTGGTATAACTCTTACATTTTATATTATAACATTATTGTCATTTTTCTGGTCGAATATCAGATTATGTGTAGTACAAAGTTATGGTCTCATGAAGGTAATAATCGATCTTCAATCTCGATCATTCTTATCTTTTTTTTCTATTTTTATCTTGATTGTTCTAATTGAACTATTAATAGAAAATAAAATAATCTTTTTTAGTGCTGAGAATCTTTCTCTAATTTATTTTTTCCAATTATTTATTTTGTTACAAATGATAGAATAATGAAAAAATTAGAGAAAGATGATTGAGACTATTAAAGAATGTAGGAAGAAAATTTTCAAATCCATCCTTTCTATATTGTAATTTAATTTTTTTAATTGTCAATGAGTATTTTTTTTAATTTTTAGGGTTGGGAATCTCTCTCTATGTTACTATTTTCTAATTTTTTTATTTTGTTATTAGTGAAAAATTAGGAAAAGTCTAGATAACGATGATTGAGACTATCATAAAATATAAGAAGAGATTTTTTTTAAGTTCATCATTTCAGCATTATAATTTGTCTTTTTAATTACCAATGACTTTTTTTGTTTTTCTATTTTATTTTGATTTAATTATTTGCTTTGTTATTGTTGAAAAATAATGAAAAAGTAGAGAAAATAGGATTGAGGCTATTCAACAACATGAGAATATATTATTTTTTGTTTTATAAGTCTAAGTTATATTTATCACTAAAATAAACTTCAAGATAGAACTTAAGGACTTAAATTTTAAAATTTAATTATTTGAATTAATATTCTAATAATTAATGTAAAACTCTTTTTTTTTCTTTTTTTTCACATATTGTTTCCCCATCTTCATTGCATTGTTTTTCTTTTTTCCCCTTCATTTTTTGACTCAACAAATATATTTATATTAAAATTTGAAAAGAAAGAAGTTCCCAAGGGGGGAGACATACACTTAACTTATTAAAAATTTGAGAAAGACTGAGATTCTCATCTGAACCCATCAATCTTCGACACTAATGGGTATGTGCTTTGGACGTAGGCAATTTGCCGAACCACGTAAAACTTGTGTGATTTGCTGTTTGTGGCCATTGTAATAGTTTATTAGGTTCCCTCGACAGGTCAGTCCTAGAACTGATGAGAGGAAAAGCTGATATCTCACTTGTTGAGATATTCGCTTCAGATTCTTGTTTCCTTGATGAGACGGGTATTCTTATTGCGATCGTTCTCTCTTATTGTGCACCAGAAACTCTGCTGAAATTTCCGCTGCGCCCAACGTTTTTCACAAATGATCATATGGGAAAGAGATTTTATTTTGATAACCTAGTTCGAAACTGAATATATAGACCATGTGAACCATATTGGAACCTCCCAACCGTCGGGGTCACCCGCACGCGATGGGTAGGGGCATTAATTCCTAAGACATATTCATCTGCTAGCTTGAAAAAATTATAGCATATTAGCCACGTGTCTTCAATGTATAAGATTATCACCAAGTTGTTTGGTAACAGGTTGAAGGGTTTTATTAGTAATAATTGGTTAGTAATACTCAATTTGCTTTCTGGATATATAATAGGCAACTTTTAGGGCTTGTTTGGATTGAGGGGAATGAGGGTGAAGGGAAGTTAGGGGAACTATTCACCTCCATTCACCTTGTTTGGGAACACTTAGGAGGTGAAGTTAATTCACCCTAGTTCCCCTTGGTTCACCCCCTAATAGTATAAAAATTGTTACCCCTCAAATTGGAGTGTAACCAAGGGGAAGAGAATTCCCTTCCCTTCCCTTCCCTTCCCTTCACTCAGGGCCTGTTTGGATTCGTAGGGGGTGAAGGGAAGTTAAGGGAAACTGAGTGAAGGGAAGGGAAGAGAAAGGAAGGGAAGGAAAGGGAATTCCCTTCCCCTTGGTTACACCCCAATTTGGGGGGTAACAATTTTTATACTATTAGGGGGTGAACCAAGGTGAATGGAGGTGAATTAACTTCACCTCCTAAGTGTTCCCAAACAAGGTGAATGGAGGTGAATGGTTCCCCTAACTTCCCTTCACCCTCATTCCCCTCAATCCAAACAAACCCTCAGTTTCCCTTAATTACTTCCCTTCACCCCCTACAAATCCAAACAGGCCCTTAGATAACATTTTGATGACTTATGAAATTACTGATGAAGTGAAGCAGAAGGGGGAAGAAGTGGCTGTGATTAAGTTGGATTTTGAGAAGGCTTAATTACGATTGTGTTGATTACGAGGTTTTGGATTTGTTGTTGTCTCCAATGGGATATGGCGATAAATGGAGAATGTGGATTAAAGATTGTTAGACAATGCTTTTCTTTTAGTTTTGGTGAATGAAAATCTCACCCGTGATTTTCCAATGCGACATGGTTTACATCAAGGATGTTTAATTATCTCATTTGCTGTTCAATTTGGTGGCTGAAGGTCTTAGTGTATTTCTAGTGAAAGCGATGGAACTCGAGTTATACTAGGGGGCACGCATTAGCTCAATCAATAGAGTATCAGTCATCTTCAATTCACGGACAACATCATTTTATTTTGTGTGCATCTTATCATTATTTCTTGGTTAATATCAGGAGAGTGCTCCAGTGTTTAAAAATTAGAACTAGTATCGAGTCTTAGAATCAAATTTTCACAAGAGTATATCTTCTACTTAAGCAGTCAAGTAAGTAGAATATATACTTCATCTGAAGCTCTCCATTGCAAGCCAACAGCTCTTCTACTTAAATAGTTTGGCTTCACTTTATGTTTTTATCAAAAGAATAATAAGAAGGTTTGGGAGGACATTTGCAATAATTTCATATCAAAAGTATCATCATGGAGACGAAACCACGTTTCTGTGGGAGGACGACTATGCTCATTAATTTAGCTTAATTTGGTGAATTTACTCATATATTATCTCTCATTATTCAAGATTAATTGTTGTGGGTGTTCGTAAGGAACATGAGAAGACTCAAAGGCAACTTCTTATGGGGTACGTGGCAGCAAGGTAAAGAGAAGTTTATGTAAAGGTGAGATGGTCTCGGGTGCGGCGGCATGGTAAAGATTGAGGTGGCCTTGGTACTCATCGCCTTGAGAATATTAAATATTATATTACTCTGTAAATGGTAGCAGCATTTTGCGACTGAACGTGATTCACTGTGGTGCAAATTTTTAGTGGAGAAGTATGGCTCGGACTTGGACGAGTGATACCTCGGGTCCATTAATTGCTTTTTCATAAGGCGTCTTTTGTCATGAAACCAATTTTTTACGTAGGGAATTCTAAGAACAACAATGTCGTAATCATTTTAAAAGATTGTTACCTCTTTGAGAATGGCGGTGTCCGTTGTTGTATTCATTTTAAAAGGAGACTTCTTGTATGAGAGGAGTAAGAATTAGAGAATTTGAAGAGTTTGTTGGAGCGTGTATATATCAGCTCAAATAAAAAGTATCTCATTCAATAAACATCAAATTCTAAAAAGGCGTTTGTACTATCAAAAATACATGCGATATTTTAGAGTCTCACAAGCTTGATATTTCCTCTAATTGGCTGCCGTTAATTTGAAAAAATTATGATCCCCCAAAGGTTACATGTTTCATTTAGGTTGCTATTGATAGTATCCCCAACAACTCTTTTTTTTTTTGGATTATCTTAACGTGGCTTGCACATCTTTTCTAAGGTGTTTTGGAGTTTTTGAGGATTGTTTCCTTTCTCTAGTCGGATGGCTTGGAAAGCTTGTATAGAGATCTTCAATGATTGAATTTCTATTTTTATTTTTCTTTTTCTATTCCAAATTTATTATTCAATTAATGGTACAGAGGGAAGCCTGAATTGGTTGATGGAAACCATGGATGGTTTTGTATCTTGTATCAACGTGGTTCATGTGGAATGTGTGAATGTGGGATGGGACAAGAGATGGTGGAACCTCTCATGCTCCTCCCATGCTTCCTCCATGCTCACCCATACTCTCTTGTCCCTTCTTCTTTGCCTATAAATAGGAGAAGTGAGGAAGAGAGAGAGAGAGAGAAAGAGAGAGAGCTTGTTGTACAAGTTTGGTATTTTCCTCATAGTGAAAACCCCCTCCCGTGGACGTAGGCAAGTTTGCCGAACCACGTAAATCTCGTGTCTTAACTGTGAGTTGGTTTTGCTTGTAGGTTCCATCGACAAGTCAGTCCTAGAACTGATGAGAGGTTGAGCTGGAACAAGAGTTGGCTATTGCT